CAAGGAAGTAAAACAGCCCGAAGTGCAGACAAGCACATACTTTTGGTAATATCTATCAGCTGTCCTACTCCTCTTCTCCCTTCATCAACTACTGGACACATTTGAAGCATCATATATAGCACCAATGTCCATAACCAAAGCTTGCAAGTAGTGTTAACTTCTATGAAGCCAAGGGAAATGTGCCTACATCATGCATGTAAACTCAAAATTACACATGCATGACAAAGGAAGCTTATGTAAAGAGAATAGTTGACAAAAGCATCTCATGGTTACAATTATTCAAAACTGCACACAGGGCAAACATAAAAAGCAGCAAGTGTACTGTTCTGTTATGCTAAGAAATAATCCAAAACAAAATACAATCTTTTCATGTTTGAAATGGTTGTTCTTCTATGCTCCTTCATCCATATCTTGATTACAGATGGGCTGTTACTGTAGGCTGATGAAGTGACACTTGATTGCCTTTGTGCGAGATTCAGTTGCAGCCTCCTTGGTACTGCACTGGAAAGCAGATTGAATTGAATGCCTCTGAAAGATAGGAATACAGGCAGGGTTAGCTGTAGTAGTGTCAATGATAATAGACATGACATTTTTGTCCTTTGACATACATTTGTTGAAGTACAAAAAGGTACAAAATAAATTGGTTTGTTTCAAGACACGCACACTGCACAAAGCCGCACAGACATTACACAGGCATATGAAATTGGTACACATAAAATTTGATGATTAAAAAGGTCAAAACTTGCAATAATAATTGAAGTAAAAGTTACAATCACAATCATTTGATTTAAAATGACTTGACATAAGTCACAAGACGCAACGCTCCTATTCTTTTATGCTTTCATTATCCTCCACATATCAACCAGCTTGATACCAGGCTGTGCAATAGTGTGTACATAACCCCATGTTGCCATTTTATTAGAGCAAGTGGGGTTACAACAACAATGCTAATGTCAAACCCACATCTGCAACCCGTACTGCAGTTTCAATCACCTTACAAGCACACCTTCTGGCAGTTTGATAGGCAGAATGGTCATTACTACTTTCCCCTCATATTCAACACATAGTCCCTTTATACAGATACAGTTTAGACCTGGTTATGGCAAGCACTTTCGAGAAAAGATATGATTAAAGTCCAAGACAAAGGTCGAGAGAAACAACACCAACATAAAACACCGACTATGTAGCACTAATACTGTCAAATTCATAAAAATATATACATGAGTCGATCAGAAATTCACTGTAGATTTCGAAAATGGTGTCAAATGCCACTCGAATACCCCCATTCGCATGTACGAAGCAATAAAACACTGACCTTCAATTCCGCGTGCCATTCTCCATAGGCCACTGTGTATTAAATAACGCGTTCACTGATAGCAAAAAATAAGACCCACATATGACGCGTTTGCTACCAGCCAATCAGCGCTCGAGTTACCGAGCGCTGATTGGTGGAGAGGGCCGTCGTCAGCAGCTAATTACACGTTGTTTTCCTTGAACATGTGCGTGAGCGCTGATGCTGCTCACGGGCTGTTGCCATTTTTCGTAACGCTGAAGGCACGGGAGCGAACCCCCCTGGGTGGGACTAAATGCTTACTTCGAAATCTAAGCTACGTTGCGGCATTGGCGGTTATGTGCGGCGTGTATGCCGCATTATGAGTAAGAGGCGACCACTAAATTAAAGACTCAAACGCTCCGACCGGTTCTCAATGAATAACACTGCATACCAAAAATGCCAACCGCTCTCGTCATAAGATATTCAGCTTTAAATAACTAGGTTATCTACATCATCATTTTGAACCAAATTAATACTTTCAACTTAACTCACTCATTCCTTCCTTTGTTGTCTCCAAACAGTCGTTGGATTGTCTGGAAATCGTATGCTAAATCCCGTACCTGTATGCGACTGGTGCATATAAAGGCCGATAAAAGAATTTGAATAGGCTCTGGCATGCGATTTCCTGGCTACCCAAAAAAGTCTGTTTCAGTCTTGCTATCAAAACATGACCTCGCCCGCACAGGGGGGGGGGGGGGTTGATGCAACCCCCCTAAGGTTTTTCGCGAATAACTCGCTTAAAAAGCGGCTGATCGCGACGAAACTTTCAGTACCCTCGCATTGATCAATTTAACACCCATCCTGAAAATTTCATGACCCTGACCCAAATGACCTTTGACCTGTGACCTACTTTTCGAGACCATGTTTGGCCGGAACCGCGATTCAGCGTATGTCGGCTCGCATTAGCAGCGCGTTTGCAGTCTTTTCGTGGTTTCAAGCGTTCAAACATGTGATATGATGTTGCCCCCATGCATTAGGGTGGGTGTCAAGGTCACCTGAAGGTCAGGTCAGGTCATTGACCTTTGGTGACCTCGGTTCACTTTTTCGAGTTTGACATGTTTCTAGGTCAGTTTTTTTCTAGCTGAATTCGAATTAAGCAACCACATGAACGTTTACAAAGTAGTTTTGGTGCCTTCGTAACATGTTACGAGGCTGTCAGAGGCGGTTGACACCTACTACAAATACCTGGCAGGACCTCTACTGGTTGACCTGACCTGACCTAACCCGACCTGGCCTAAATGAATGAAGACATCATCTGTGATCAAAACTAGCATGATATTCGTGATCAGCACCCCGAAAAACCCCATAGCAGCCACACTACGACGTTCTAGCAGGTCCCAATTTTCCCGCCTTTTGGGTCATTGACCTGACCTGGAAGGTCAACCGATAACCTAGGACCTTAAAATTGGGTATCATCGGCTTTCTCTCGTCACGGGCAACACGCTCGTTTTTTCCGCGAAGCTCTAGCTTGATCAGGAGCGAAACGGCAAGGGGTTATACCTTATACGTTCGCGGCTGAGTATTAATTTGGTTCAAAACAATGATGTAGATAAGTTAGTTATTTAAATCTAAATATCCTATGACGAGAGCGATGGACATTTTTGGTATGCAGTGTTATCCATTGAAAACAGGTCGAAGCTATCGAATTTTTAATTTAGTGGTCGCCGCTTACTAATCATGCGGCATACACGCCGCACATAACCGCCAATGCCGCAACGCAGCTTAGATTTCGAAGTAAGCATTTAGTCTCACCCAAAATACAATTGATTATTCATCCGACCATTACCTTAAAAAAAATGCAGACAGTCCCAACTCTGGTCTTATGACGTCATATTTTTATCCAATGACAAGCTCGCATACGAGCCCATATCCGAAAAATATGACTCACTCACCATTCAACAGTTTTCGTTTTTTACCAATTGGTCTAATTCTATGGATGGCCTTGGGCCTATTCTTCTCTGAGTGACCCAAATCGGTCTGTGGACCGTGACTGTCGGGCCGCAGTTTGCAGACCAACTGTGCTCTTGCAGACGAGTAGCGGCGTAACTTTGTATACCTACTTTGTACTTCTGGGGTCTCTGGGGAGGCGGGTGCCACCCCGAATTTGAAAATCGTCACCCCAATACTTGTTTGTCACGCCAACTTTGTGCGCCCCCACGAGTCCGACAGGCGCCCCAAGGCCAGGAGAGTGTACGCAAGGATAAAACTAACCCACCGATGTATGAGGGCGCCCCTTAGCCGCTCGATTCGTTAGTAGTTACCCACCATGGCCGCTCAGAGATTAGTCCGATTTGGCCTAGGGTCATCACACAGGTCTCTTGGAAAAAAAACACACACACACACCACTTGGCTAGATGGAGCAGCCGATCAGTTAAAAAAGCACCCCTCGAGCCAAAACTAGTGTCGACTTCTCAGTAATGTACCTATGTAGTATCTCATGCCATCTCGTTTGCTAAGTAGGTAGACACGGCGCCGCGCCCCTCCCCCGGCAGGGCGCTGGGCTACCCGCCACCCGAGCTACCCTTCACTCAATATACCCTGGTGCAGGGCGGCGTTCTACCAGCTCAACGGAGCTGGCCTGGCGGTCGACGGTCGTTCGCTCGGCTAAGCTAAAATCGAACGTCAGAACGGCCTTCCGGGCGCTGGATTTCTCTCCTGGATGCTTGCGGCGTGCCTTCGGGTGGTTCCAGCTCGGACCGTCCAGGTAGGGTAGCAGGTGCTGTCGCTGTCATCTACCAAGCGTTCCATTCTAAATCAATCTCGTTCGACTGATATAGCACCTACTATTATATTGTGGCTGGTCCCTTTTATACCGTGTGTGAGAGAAGAGCGGATACGTTTTGTCGGAACATGCACCTCATGACGTGATTTAAATGTGTGCGAGGCTGTGATACGTGCTTGGGGAAAGGGGTGTGGTGAAACGAATTACGATCATTAGACATTGGCATCCAGCCTCACAAGTGCATCTTATTTCGAACAGAATGTCGAGCTGAGAAATTCATGCGGCGCATGCCAGTTATCGGTGTAGGCCTAGGCAGATTGACACAAGGGAAATAAATCATGAAATTACAAAGTGTTGTTCACATCACACATGTATTTCAATTGTAATCCCTTTCTCTCATATTCTGTTGTTAAGGATAACGTACGAGAAGTACTACAAAGTTAACAATCGTTTAAATACAATCAAAATTAAGGCGACGTTGCATCCCCCATAGGTACACTTCTCCACGGTATTATATTGTTCACCTCTCATACGGCCTTGGTTCACGTCCGCCCAGCCGCCGTTTCCGCGGTCATATTCGTCGCAAGCGGTACAGTAACAAACGCACTCACGTGACTTCACAGACACAGCGCATTCACGCGGGCGACACAAACACAAAAATGGAATGCACATATCGCGTCTCGGCGACGGCTGTGATTCGTGTCACTACCGTCACAGCTGGGCAGAGGGAGGGATGGCGGCGTCTCATTTGAGAACAATGTTTCAGAACCTCCCCGCCCCTATCGGGCAGCCGGTATCAAATCGAAGTGTCCGGGATCGTTTCATCCCATTTCTCGCCAGTTCTCGCGACTAGACTGGTCCAGCATCACCCTGCCGCCGCAGTCCATACGGGCGGCGGCAGTACGGTGAACTGAAGCTTCTCCGTCCCGCTGACAGATGGCAGCAGTGAAGACGGCCCAGTGGTTAGCGTATGCCGAGTTGTTTCTTTCGTTCAGCGATCATCAGCTGGAAGTCTAGTCTGAAAAATGATTGGGCAGTGTCAATTACGGCTAAGATAGAACGTCACACATGTCACGCGATGGATATTGAATAAAATTAATCTCACACTTGTGACTTGTGTTGAATTATCGGTGAAAGATGCGAGACAGGTGGGTGATGTCGCACTAAGCTGGCGGGGTGCGACTTGGTGCTGGAGTGGGTGACAAAAAGCCGCTAAGGAAACAAAGCCAGTGTGGACATTCAACATAAATTTTGTGCAACTGTGGTAAGCCGAATCATATCAAAATAGAGCGACAACTTCTATGTCTTTAAAAGTTAAAAATATGACGACTTATAGAGAACGCTACGCGATGGTCGATTAACATTTAAAGTTGCAACGTTCAAATTAACTTAATGTTTCATGAAATGACTGCACATTTCCCATTACCCTAAACAGCTATAACATCGATATAAACACCGGCAACGACAAACACCTTCAGAATCCAGCATACAATGCAAAGAACGTCGTAACATCGGCCTCACCAAACACATCGTAACATAAAAAGCATCATGCATATGAACTGAATGCTGGTGGCGCATAGCATTTACACATGAACCACTGGGCGAATCGGCACACATCCTGCGGCCACCACGGTAACCACAGGAACCACAGCGGGAGGTCGTTGGAACCATGCTCCTCGTGCAAGCCAGCTGTCTCGCCGCGCCACGGTGAGGGGAGGAACGCCGGAGCATGGGATCTGCAGTGGCCTGTGGGACGCCGACCTAGTGGCTGCCTTGGAGGCCGGCTACCTACGCCATAGGGAGCCCCTTGGCTATGGTCCTCCGTAAGGAGGTCCCAAGGGGACAAACACAACAACATCTGCAGTGGCCGAGGGCTGGGGTGACGTGAAACATGATTGGAGGACTTAGAATCGAGCTGGCAGGCGGTATCTGTCCTGAGTGTCCTAGCATTTTCTAGTTCACTTATCGCAGCCGGCAGCGATAAGTGGTACCGAAAGGTACCGAATTGCATTTTTAAGAGTAACGCCATCCAAAGATGACAGGTGATTCGAATCTACCCAAGCCACAGTTCATTCGCAAATACGATAGAGCCTAGCAGCAGCATCCTAGTGACAGTGACATGTCAAACGATTGGCGGCGCGAATAATTCGATGTGTTGCTCGACGGGCTCGAGGGTTTAGTTTAGACGACAGGAAGCGCTACGTTTCACACATGCTCCACTCGATGCCCAAAAGATAAGGGTTACACACATTAATTACTGCTCGCTCATACTATGTAAAGGGAACGAAACAATTGGACCCCAACGTATTTTTGTTTTGTGGCACAGACTGTCATTTCGTTACTTTATTACGACGTTTTAGGTCGGCCTCAGCGATCAGACGAAACTGTAAGACGAATGAACATTTCCTTTACAGGCCAGGCGCGATATTCATGAAGCTCTCCGCACACCAACGCGATCTCCTCGCTCTTGAAACAGCGTCAATTTCGTGCAGCCCATCCTTCCGCGCCGTCGACTTGCGCGACCACTGCGCCACCCAGCGGCCGTCCGCGGCAGTTTGACATGCAGCCTCCGTCAACAGGTGGCGCCACCCGCCCCTGAGCGTCCCAGAACACACGGCGCTCGCGAGCGAGAGCGACACCTACCGGCCACGCAGTGGTAACACGAGCTGCCTCCGACGCATGCCAACAGCCATGCAAACGGGGTGGAGGCGGGCTCGGCCGCCCTGGGGAGGGGGTGACGGGGGGGGGGGGTCACTCGGTCACTCTCAGTTCCCGTGCGACTCGGACCGACATGCCACAGCGCCAGTTACCTCTACCGTCGGTGCGTGTCTTTACCTGCAGACTCGCTTTTATCTCATCGTATCTTAGCGTGAAAGCAGAGAGAAGGGTTAGGTGTCTAATCGAGACTGGAACCTGGAAGGAAGAGTTAGGGGTTGCGACTGAGTTAGTAGACACCCGACTGGACAGAAGCGGGAAGATTGGACAATTGATCGCGATACAGTCAGCTGCACATCCGAGAACTGGCCAGCTGCGCATTATCGACCCTGCCAGAGCAAACTCCACAAACTCCCCAGGGATGAACACGGGACAACACTGGTGTTTACACTGGAACTTTACAAAATTCGACCAAACAGTTGTTAGAAGAATCATGCGACCCTTCCCACGTTCCCTGAGCATCGGTATTACAAGATCTAAGAGGGATACAATCCTCCGTGCTACTGCATTGAATGAATCACTGCAGTCGCATGACATCAATTTGTTACGAAAACCATGTCAACAGCTCACGCCATCCAGACATTACGAACTAAAAACAGTCACAGCCACTTCACTCAGATTCCCTGGGCCCGACCGAAGATGAATCCTGCCTTAAACGCTGTTCCACGGCTAATTGTAAGCCCCTGGCAATGACCCATCCCGCAAGCAGAAACCCCATCACAAGCTCTCCCCTGCAATCCCGCTGTGCCCCCATAGCACGCCCCCGCAGTTGTCACGTGACCGGCGCCACTCACTGTTTGACGCGGTCGGGGATGCACACGTGATCCATGGGCAGCAGCTGACTGAGCTCCATCAGACTGGCGACGAACCGCAGTTTGCGGCTGAACTTTGAACTGTGAAAACCGGGGGATGGGGGTGAGAAAGGCGGTTCAATTCACATACACAGTCGGTAGTTACACGGATAGCAATGCGCATCAACCAAAAGGACGCATTGTTGTTCGTGGAAAGTAAATGCGCAGTGCTCACGTAGCAACACCATGCAAGGCATCAATGTAATTAAAAGATTAACTGCAACTTCCAACAATACAAAGTACTGAACACGGAAAGAGCCACTTTTTGTAAGAGCCCCGTCTCAAGGAGACCTCAGTAATATCGCAACTTCGCCACAAATCACGATAAGCTCCTACCAGACTGATAATCCCGCCAGAATCGCTATCAGTAACGACCCACTGCCTCATAAATACAGGCACGTGTCGTAATTCATTGAAGAAAACGGCAATGACCTCTATGGAATGCCAAGCAGGCGAAGCACCATGGATAACGAAGCACCTTTATCATTTTATCATGAATTCCAATGAGAGAATCCCAGTTACCACTACAAAAATCCGCCATCCCACCCACCATCTTATTTCGCTCTAATGGGTCCCACTCCCACTTTCGTCCTATCCCGTCTCCTCAGCTAACTAACCTGATGAAGGGTCTCGTCAGGGCCACGATGGTTTTCACCCAGAAGGTGGGGTGCACCAGGTAGAGCCCCTTGAGGTTCTTCCTCAGACGCCGGTCCACCATCTGGTAGCAGCGCTTCAGCCAGCCGAACGACGGCATACAGGAGCGCTGGGTGGCGCCGTGCAGGTAGATCAGGATGTAATCCTCGGCGATCAGCGAGTCCAGAGTCGTCAGAACGTACCTGTTGGGTGCGGTGAGAGCGGTCAGACAGAGGGAGGGGTTAGATAACGCCGAGAGGGGCAGAACAGCGGGAGTAACGCCCGTGAGGCGATTGTAGGGGCATGAGAGACGCGCCGGCTGAAATCGAGACACGTTTGGGACGAATGATGAAAGTTTGTACCAGCTGTGACCGGGACAGGGTTGGGAGCTTTGAACAGTGACCCTGGATTTTATGACATTTTGTGGGAATGTGTACGTGATTGGCATGTTGGTATACGAACAGCACAGAATCCCGTGTCTTTGCTAATCCCCCAGACAGAAGAGAACCCAGACTGGCAGAAATCTAACTGATCCACCCTCCAGCATCAGTTAGCATCAGTTACTATTGCCGATCCTTGTACTAAATATCACCATCATGTACGTCGTCAGCGTATGAATAATTTGCCAGAGTTTAGAGCTCAATTCCTTGACGTTTTTCAGAGCCAGCCACGCCAATCATCCCATACCTTCGTCTCGGTACTCACAGGAAGAGGTTGTCCATGACGTACGAGTAGTCCCTCCGACTGCGGTCGGGCAGGTAGCAGGCGGAGAACACAATGATGGCCTGGTCACCCTCCAGGCCCAGGTACCCGCCGTGTGACAGCACCTGAGGAAATTGAGAGCGGGGCACAGGTCAGAGGTGCTAGGCATCTGCCGCTGGGTAGTCACCTAAGGGTGAGGGCGGGGCACAGGTCAGCGGTCAACCTCAAAGCCCAGATATTCACCGTGAAACAGGACCTGGAGTGACAGTGGGGCACATATTTGCCAGCGTTCTAGATGCTCGCGGCCAGTGACTACACACATGGAACTTATGAAGATAAACTGAATGTGCCAAGGATTTGCTCATCAGCGAGATCGAGTGTTCAGAACGAGGATGTCTACAAATATGTTCAATAATTACCGGCATAACTTTTGACAATGTGAACCGGTACTAACGAAGACCGAATTAAACCCCCATCAGACACTTCCGATGATTGACAAACCTCAAATACAAAAATGAACGTATGAATATGGAGTGTTAGTCTTCCTGGAACTGCACAATGCATCGGTACTGTCTGACTGCCCTTCTCTCAACCTCCCCGAACACTGACCTCCGTCACCCCTGGCTGACCTTTTTGTAGGGCTCGATGACCTTCATGTCTATCCGCCTCTCCAGGCCGGCCACGACACAGCTGCGCCACGAGCGCTCGTCGTTAATCTCCTCCCGGGCCGTGTACTCGGGTATTGGCTCCGCCGGCGGAAGACCTGAGCAGGGCAGACAGAGGGTCAGGGTGACTCGGGGGCAGGGGGAGGCCCACACGCCAGCGCAGTGTACGCAGGAATCGTATCTGCCGGTGGCAGATCTGACCCACAGAGAGGGATAGGGAGTGTCAGGGGCCGGGGGACCAGGATATCACAATTCACAGGGTCACACCGTCGGCATTATTTATACTCTCGGATCGGCTCAGCAGGAGGACTTGACCAACAGTGAACTGGACGTCTCAGGGCTGGGTGCGTCACATACAGTACCACCACAACTGCCAACTGTGCGGAGAAGTTTCCGAGAATGGGGAACATTTCGGTGGCTGAATCAACAATAAAGCACAGCAGGACAAGACGCCGTGGAACTCGGGGGAAAAGAGCCTTGCAGACTATAAAAACAGCGGCAGACGTCAAGACTGAGTAAACGATCACGGTAACAACCAAGACCTGATAGATATTGGAGGTGATGAAAGCCGAATATTGTCGTGACATGGATAAACAAAGACGAAAACATCACAATCTCGCGGCCTAAATATGCAGAAGGCTCCACAGGGAGCTCCCGTTGATGGTATTGCCTCACGGTGATCGGTTACTGGTATGTGTTTACATTGATTGATGACATTTCACGGTAGGGGCGCTTCCGAATCGTCTCCAGAGCGTTACACGTAAGCAAGAGCCCGTACAACGCATACCAAGCCCCATCTGCCTCATTACAGACGCAAACAGCATACATAATCGATGAGACCCGACAAGCCAATTGTGACGAGCGGACACAGCACAAAAGCGGAAAGTAGTGAAGCCAAGTGGCGCATTTCTAGAGAGCAGTCAACTGAAACATTATCGTTTTAAATTTAGTGCTCGATTGCTGTAATCTGTTTTATTACACAGAGCCACGATGAGAACCGGACCTAACAATGGCTTACTAAAATCAATCGAAGTCACGACTGGCTTCATACCAATTGGAACAGTGAATGGGATATTGTTCATGAACAAACAGTCATTCGGTTAATTTATTCAGACTGAGAATGATTGCGTTTTAGAATGGGAGTTTCATTAACTTTTCCTTCAACAAACTTAAACGCTCCACATTTGCTAGTCATTTATCATGCCCTTTATCTCCCACAAATCACGAACTTCAAAAGTCGAAAATGAAAACATTCCCATGTAGCTGGCCTCCCTCCCCTCCCCCTTCATTTCTACCCCTCTCCCTCCCCGTCCTCCAACTCACGCTCCAAGATGCTGGCCTCCAGTTCGTCGGGCGTCTCGATATCGTCCGGAGTGAGTGTATCCAGCAGCTCCGAGGTGGCCAGCGCCTCGGTCGGCGTGGCCGCCCCGTCATCCTCGCTCTCTAGCTGACTCGAGCCCGACATGGTGTCCTGGTCAGCAAGCACGTCCGCCGAGACGCTGATCTTTTTCCGCCGCGGCGCCCCGCTCAGCGTGGACGGCCGGTCTAGGGGAGGCGTAGTTAGACAGAGTGTGATGGGAGTTAGACATCGTGGTGACTGGTGACTGGTGAGTGTGTGTCTATGAGCGAAAATGTTTCATTAGAACGGGCACGCCATTTGCTTGTAGAAAAGGGCAAACGTAGATCACATCCTAACGGTCACACCTAAACCCATTTAGGCTCATTTCATTAGAGCATTTAGGCAAAAACGTGAGTGAACTCACGGAACGGCATAGACTAAAGCGGCGGTGCATGCATTGTTCTAAAGGTCTCAGATAATGATATAAGTTAAGTCGGTACAGCCCATCAGTACTCAGGTCGGGGATGCCTGAACAACAGACCTGACCAGCATCTCATCTGACAAATGAAGCATGGCTGTGCTTCGGCTAAACATCGTGACTGGAAACTGAGCATGCCTCAGGCTTTACAACAGCACATGCTGCACAAGAAATATCGAAGACATGCCTATGATTATCACAAGCATGCATGATCCCACGTAAGTGTTCCTCGTCCACTGTCCGCGACACCTTACCTGGGGACGCCTTGGGACGACTATGAAGCTTCGGTGTTGACGGTGTCTCGGCGTCATCCTCCGGACCGAGTTTCTCCCGGCTCGTCTCGAGGTTCTCCCTGCTCGCCTCCAGGTTCTCCCTGCTCGCCTCGAGGTTCTCCCGGCTCGCCTCGAGGTTCTCCCTGCTCGCCTCCAGGTTCTCCCTGCTCGCCTCCAGGTTCTCCCGGCTGGCCTCGAGGTTCTCCCGGCTGGCCTCGAGGTTCTCCCGGCTGGCCTCGAGGTTCTCCCGGCTGGCCAGCCAGTCAGCGGTGCCCGTCTCGCTAACACCACTGTCGGCGTCCGCGGGTTTGCCGACCGGCTCCTCAAACGTGTCGCCCCGCTCGGGCGTCTCAGAGTCGTCCAGACTGATGGTGGGCGCCACGATCCGCCTCTGTCCGGCCACCGGGCGCGCGTCACTCTCGGCAAAGAGCGCCTCCAGCGGACGGTGACCTCCCAGTCGGCGCAGCGAGCCGCTCCTCCACAGAGGGCCCGGCGGAGGGGACGCCGCGTCGGCGCGAGACGGAGGCTCGGCCGGCAGGGACGAGGGTCCGCAGCGGTCCGACGGAGCGGCCAGTTCGTGATCCGAGGTCAGCTCAGCCGGCGGGAGGATCCTGCTGCGCGGGGAGGGGGCCGGAGAGGCGACCTCCGTCGCCTCGCTGGGGGCGGGTGACACGGCGTCTGCGGACTGAGTCGCAGCAGCCGACACATCCACCACACTGGCGGACCTGTTCTCCGCGAACGACGGAGAGGGTGAGATGGAGGGCGAGGAAGAGTCCTCGGCCTGCTCGGCGCTCACCTCCGCCTGCACGGTGATGGTGTGCCGCGCGCTGGCCGGACTCGCCGAACCAGAGGACGGACCGTCCGCGGTCACCGCCGCCGGCGCCGGCCGTGACGGCGAGCCGTGCTGCGACTCGCTCATAGAGCTGCGCAGCTCGGCCAGGATACCCTCACCCAGCAGCTGTGCAAACATCTCCGGGTGGTCCAGGATCTCCTGAATGTCCTCCTGGGTCAGAATGTCCTGCAGCCGACCGCTGATGGTGTAAATGTCCTTCAGCTTCTCCTGGTCCAGACACTCGCGCACTTTCATGATGGTGCTGCTCATCTCGATGCTGAGCGGCTCGTCGCTGAACGGCGGCAGCGAGGCCGGCTGGTCGGTCGGCTCGCCGGGGGTTTTGGGTGTGGAGGCGCCGAGCACGGGCCCGAGGCTGGGCAGGTCGTCGATGGCCACCTGTTCACCCTCCTCTTCCATCAACTGTTCGATCTCCCTCAGGTCGTGGCCGAACCGGCCCGGACTGCCGGAGTCCCCCAGAGACGCCGCCGGCGCCACCAGTTTCCTCCTGATGCTGCCGTGCCGCTCCAGCTCGCCCGCCCGCACCAGGTGCTCGATACGATCAGCGTCCGGCTCAGAGACTGGCGTATCGCGCACACGGCGCCGGAAACTCTTCTGTCGCGACATGACTCCCTCGTGGGTGCCCGGCAGCGTGAAATCCTCGTAGTAGTCATCGTCGAGCGGCGTCAGACTCAGCTGACTGAGCGACTCGGGTCCGCCGCCGGCGTCGCCGCCCGGTGAGCCGTGGTGTCCGGGCGGCAGCTCGCCGAAACTGACCGAGCGCGGTCCGGACGAGTCGCCACCGCCGCTGAGGCCGTGCTCGAGACGGTCTCGTACAGTGCGCCCGTCGCCGGCGCGCCACAGCCGGGCCGGGTCGCTGCTGGCCGCCGGAGGAGTGCCGTTGGTGCTTCCCGGCGGCACAGGAGCGCCGGACCCGCCAGTCGCCGCCGACATCGCCGCGGGGGAGTCTGCGTGGGGCAGGACGGGTCAGAGAGGCGGACTAGTGAGCCGGAGATCTGCCTGTGCAGACTGGCTAAAACAAGCAGGCCGTGAGGTTGACAAAAACAAACGGTTTACGGCGTGTGCAAACATTGCAAAACACATCACAGCCGGCGCGCAACGCAAAAAGATGATGCAAGACCACGCAAAAACATCGATAAAACAGCCATTGCAAGGCTTGACTAAGAGCATGCTCGGGCCATTCACAAGCTCTGCGTGACACAGATGCCGCGGCGGCTGGTATGAGGCGGCCCAACGAGACTCTCTCGGTACTGACCCCGTCGCCGGATGGCTTCGGAGGAGGAGAGCGCCGACTTGAAGGTGGCTGTGTCGTCGTCGTACAGGCTGCCGTCCTCGACCGGACTGAGCGCCGCTGTGTGGACAGACGGGGGTCGGTCAGACGGAGAGGGTGTGGGCTGTGGCGCAGACGGGCAGGGCGATATACGCAGTTGCGGCAGAGCTGAGAGGTAACTCCCCTGGCGTCTAGTCGTGTATGACTAAGTGATGACTATGTATGACTACGGTATAACTAAGTGATGTTGAGAGGTCAACTGGGAGAGACGGTAAGACATATGGAGCCAGCGCGCTTAGTTGGGACGAGATACCAGGGCGATGGAAATACTGACGTGCGGACAAGGTTGCCCGTTGCAGTAGTAAGGTTGGACCGGCAGAAAACCGAACACGCTATTTGCAGACACATGAGCTGAGGCAGGCTGACGTATACGCACACATTATGACGTACACATGTCGTGCTATAAGCATGTCGAGAGGACAGACCACAAACAGAGCCGTTTCTGCAAACGGGCGAGAGTGACGGGCCGCGGCGGGGCATCCGGACCGGTCCAAATATTTAGCTCGGCTGGAGAAAGCGGCGCGCAAGTCCGCGGCGCACGAACACGAGATGCAGTCACGTCTTTGTGACACAACCAACACCGGGGCGGCAACGTGATGGCATGTAGTGAGAAATCGACCCACCGCACAGGGTATAAACACTGCGGGGACTGAGCAGATCTCAGTGGCACTGGATGACACTGGGCGCCGTGCAGTGACGGCATTGCTGCGCCGAGGGCGTAGGGTGAAGTCGTATAAGAGTACGCACTTAGTGGATTTCTTGCTCTCATTTAATAATCCATTTGACTAGGATTGCGGGTTTTTTGAAGCGCTGAGTTTTTGCAGCGAGGAATTATCCCGAGGGGGTAGGTGTGGGAGTAGAGTCGGGGGAACGGGGGGGCGATTGCAAGTACCAAGTACTTTCGCAAGTACCAAGCAAGTACCAAGTACTTTTACAAGTACCAAGCAAGTACCAAGTACTTATGGAAATACCAAGCAAGTACCAAGTACTTTGGCAAATACCGAGTACTTATGCAAATACCAAGCAAGTACCAAGTACTTTGGCAAGTACCGAGTACTTTGGCAAGTACCAAGCAAGTACCAAGTACTTTTGCAAGTTCAGCAAGTTTTTCGCCAATATCGAAGCTTCTAGACGTCCGATCGTCACCGGAAAAACACCATTCGATCCCAAATTTTCTCCCGAATCTTTTTATGGCCAAAGCGACGCGGAGCGAGCCAAGATATCTTGTTTGTTTAATATTTGAAAGAAAGAAATCGCAAATAGGGAATATTAAAGTTCATTGAAATAGCCATCAACCCATGGGACAACGATCCTTCAGCGTAAATGGAAGTGGTCTAAAACTGACATTTTCTGAACCGCTGCAGTTGCGTACTCTTACCATATGGGGTGTGCAAGAGTACGCACGCCAGGCGGGTGGAGTACGCAAGCATATGAACACACACCTATGCAGCTTGTACTGTCCAAATGCTTAACTTCAAACTCAGAAGGCATTTAAGTTAATTCTAGTATCCAAAAAGAAAAACATAAAATAAATCTTTCAAGTCTATAAATCGGGAAATAATCATGTCGTGTGTTTCTTTAAAAAAAATGCACAATCAAAAGGGAGAATAACTCGTATTTGGAAGAATTTCGGGTACGCATCTGCATCACAGTGCTCCATTGATGATATACCTACAAAACAAACGTCATTGAGCGATAGATTAATAACTTTAAATTTCTGTATATTCGATTTAATGTATAATTCTGCGTACTCTTACCCTCCTGAACAGTGCGTCCTCTTACCGTACATGCAATTCGCGCACAAAACAACCCCGAAACGTTGTGCAAAACCTCGCAAACAGAATATTGCACTGCACAGTATTTCCCCAGATAACCTCACAAGTTTCCCACAACAATCACGGAAATGTACCTTATCTCAACTGCCAAGTATCACAATTATTGTACCATGCCATAATAATATCATAACGCTCGAAAATAATATTCATCGCCTTAAACTCAACAGCGTCGCCGCTCAACGCCCACGTTCCGTTGGTGACAAGCACGCACTGGCGGCTTCATGTCACTTCATGAACTCGACAAACCCGCGTTGCTAAGCAACCGAAACAGCTGATGCGTACTCTTATCGCCCGCGTACTCTTACCCGCCCTTACCCTATGTGTTATGTCTGAAAACGCCCACTCTCCAGGGACTAATTGCCTCATAAAGCACAGAGCGCTGTTGTAATTGAAATAGCGGAGCTGAGCGGGTAAAATCCTCCAGGGAGGTATGCAATATGCTGGCACGACCCACGCCAGCGGAATAATTTAGTGAGCTGACAGCGGTTAACCATGGGAGTGAAAATACTGGGAGTGAAGGACTCCCAGGAACTGTTCAGCATAGAGCACTTACTGAGCAATATCGCAATGCAAGGTGCTCCATCGATTTTATTGTGCTCCACTCATGTGGAAAGGGCGTGGCATTGTTAATTTCTCGCAAATTTTAACCCCCAGGCGGCGCCGAGCGAGAGAAGTTTGCCCTATCTCACAACATAGGCGACCCTAGCGCCCCTGGCGGCTGTTTGTGAAACTAACAGGCCGTTGACTGTATGGGCTTATCCCTGCTCTCTGTAAGCGCGTCTAGGGACAAATAATAGTATGGGCAGATTGTAGAGAGTGCAAGCTAATGACGAATACCTATAATGAATACAATATATTGTCACAGGGGCCCAGGAACATTCTTCAAGTTGGGGTGCAAGCCCAAAATACCTGACATGACGCATATGAAATAGTAGCGTAGTCAGGGGGCCCAGGAGGCACGTGCCATCTAGTCCCCCCCCCCCTATCGCATTCATAGGACCTATCGGGTCGGAGGGGCTCTGTGGCACCAGTTTACCGCTCAGGGTCTATGCTGGCCATATTTCGATTCAGAAAGAATAGGGCTCGTAACAGCACCTCGTGAGTCCAAAGAAGCCTCACTAAATTGTCCATGAGGGTTACACGCCGGCTTCTGAAGGCTACTGGCGGCCTCTGAGGGCCCTTTACCGGCCTCCTATGGCCGCTAGTGTGCCTCTGAGAGTCCTTGCCGGCCCAAGAGGGGCCATATCTAGGGCCTTACGCCAACCTGTAATCAGTAATGGCCTCACACCAATGTCTCTGACGGCCCCATTACGACGACTGTGAGACTGAGGGCCCTCACTGGTGCTTCTGAGAGCCCACCCGGCCATAAAGACCCTTGCGGTACCAACTGACCTCTGAGGGTCCACGCTGACTATATTTCAGCTGAGAAAGACCTCACAGGTCTCGTAGGAGCACCTAATGAGCCCCTAAGTACCCACACTAAGATCTCCGTCAGGGTCTACGCCGGCTTCTGAGGATCCCATAACGGAGACCGTGAGGGCCCTCAGCAGGGCCTCTGAGGGTTCACAACCAGCACCTCTGAGAGACCCACACCAGTGGTTCTAAGGGCCCATAAGGACACCACTGAGGGTCCCCCAAGCCAGTGCCACACCATTTATGCAACCCTATATTGGTGGCTCTGAGGTACCCACACCTGCGCCTGTGAGGGTTCGGCAAAAGCATATCTGACGGCCACCTACCTGCAACTCTGAGGGCCCTACACCAGAGACTGAGGGCCGCACTGGCGTCTCAGAGTACCTTGTCGGTATCTAAGGACCCCACAGGGCTTCTGAAAATGCCGCCGGCCTCTGTGGGCCCCTTGCCGGTCTGAGGTCCCCCTCCCCGGTCGTTGAGGGCCCCCTGCCGACTTTTAAAGGGTTCGCACCAGCAGCTCTAAGGGCCACACACCCACATGTAACGGACCCACACCAGTGTCTCTGAGGGTCCACAACGGCGTCTGTATTCTGTGAGGACCCTCACCGGCGCTTATGAGGGATTCACACTAGCACCTCTGAGGGGCCACACGGGCGTCTGTGAGGACCCCACACCAGTGCCTCTAAAGGCCCCTAATTGGAGGCTCTGAAGGCCCTGCATCGGTGATACTGAGGGTCCTACCAAAGGCACAACACAAGCCATTAGTCTCCTTCTGAGTCCCACACGCCGCCCTCCCACCATAGGCGGCGGAACGGGGAGGGCACCGGGGCACCGTGCCCCCTCTGATTTGGGCATTTTAACATTAGCCCTATGGGCGTTGCATGGAAAGAATGGGACCAAAAGTCGGCAGTGTCCCCCCCCCCCCTCCTCTTAATTGAAGGTGTTCCGCCGCTACTGCCTCCCACCGGAGCGAGTAAACCTGTATCAATCAACGACTTTACCACCGTTGTACGTCATAATGTTCTCATCACGCCAAATCAAATACCATCCGGAACCAAAATGATCCAGTAAAAAATCTGACCTACCAAAGTTATGATCAAGTTCAGATAAAATCAAAGTGGGATGACAATAGCAGGTGTTCTTAAATCGATGCCGAATCAGCAGAAACCATTCACATGCAAGAGAAATACCTTGTGCTGATGTTTATATAAAACAGACATGTAGGTTCATAAAAGGGAGCAGAGATCCTTCATCGTTGCATCATTGTTGAGGGGGCGGCGCCCACTCGGCTCTCAAGTTGGAGGGGGGGGGGGGTAAGCGCCCCCACTGCCCCCCCCCCTGTTCCCCGGGGTCTATGCAGTGAACGACGCTACAAAAAAAAAACATGTGACACCTAATAGCAGGCACTATAAACATGCGCTCGTACGTATCCCGTCAGACCAGGACGGGGATCGGGGGTAGTACTATGCAATATACATTAACACAGAACTATTTCGTGCTTTAAGATGCATAACATCACATTTTCACCAACATTCTGAGTGCCAGACAAGCCAACAGCAAGGCGTCATTTCGGTAAAATGCATTTAATGATGATCGTAAGCTCACAAAGCATAGCGAGCGTGTTAGTTCAAAACATTGCCGCTAGGGGCGCTGAGGTCGCTAATGCTGAGAGATAGGCCAAAGTGTCGGCGGTCGGCGCCGCATGGGTGTTAATATTTGGGGGAAATAAAAAATGCCACACGGTTTCTACGTGTCTGGGGCACGATAAAATCAGTGGAGCACCATGTTTTGCGAAAAAAAGTGCCCAAAATGACACACCCTACTGAGCATGAAACTCGCATTGGATTCAGGAAACAGAGTGTAACGTGTCAGTCTATGTGAAACCTCAAACGTTCCTGTAGTTTCTGTAGTTATTATAACTCCCCATGACTTCACCGGCCCTGTACGCCGCCATATCGGACACTCATCGGCCCTGTACCTCGTCCCACCGGACACTCACCGGCCCTGTACCCCGCCCCGGGCGACTGTGGGGCCGCCCTGTCCCCGTTCAGGCTACCGGTCGGGTCGCCGGCGGTGCCGGTCTGGGTCAGAGTCGCGGTACCCGAGCCCGTGCCGCGCTCCGTCCGCATCCTCCCCTGGAAACAAACAACGAAACGACTCAGTCTAGCTGGGGCCAACTTTAGTTTATAGGTGAAGACACATTACACTATGGTATGGAGCATGAATAACTGATGAAGACTGCGCTTCCTACCAATTACAGCTCGTCAGGGTGGTGCATTTAATCGCAAATGTCTCAACTCGTGAACAATTTATCAAGAACGGTGATATACGACGCAAGACCGTTCCATGATTAATGGCTCTGATGAAATCTATATGGAGAAGGGAGCCGAATTTCTTTGTAACCTCGGGGTCAGCCGGCGGGCGACACCAGAGACCTTTCGCCGGCGCTAATGGAAAGTCTGTGTGGGACGAAGGGCACATTTCTGCACATGAAATATGGACAACAACCAGCAATATTGCGTGTTTTCAGAAACAGAAGGACATCGGAATTCAGCAGACCGGTGGGAAAGAGCTAGCCAGTAACATCCATTAGAACCTCCCAGCGGTAAAGGTTAAATGTCCAACTGGAACCAGTAATAGACTCGGACCATCCGGCCCCAATCTGGTGAATGACACCGTGACACCGGTGAGGGACACCATGACACCATCGGTGACACACGGGGCCCAAATAGCGAGATTGGGGACAATGCCACGTCATCACTCGATAATGGACTCTAACGGTGACAACACAGTGCCGCAGTGTCGGCCGACCGGCCCCGCCCAGCCGACCTGAGCCGGACAGATAGGGCGCTATCGTGGCTCACAGCTCACGGGCCGTGGTTTAGGACCCGGAGGGGCGCCGCCGCCGACCTCAGCAGGCCTGTCTGTTTGGCTCTGAGCGCCGCCGCGGCAGCGGACGGGAGCCGAGACCGACCCGCGCCGCGCGTCTGCTGTTGCCGCGTCAAGTACGCAGTTCGACAGCCCGGGAATCGACCCGTTCCGATTGCCCGGTGGCTGAGGGGTCGGCCGGAAACCACTCACTTCCGGTCGGCCGACAGAGGGCCGAGGAAAGGGGAACGGAACGCGGATGCAGCGCGCGGCAAGGCGGCCACGCCGGAAAAGAATGATCAGGATAAATTGGCTATTGAGTATTGGCTGTCATTCCACTTGCCGGTTATGCGTAATTTGCGTGGCGCTTTGCTGAAACGAATTATTAGTCGCGAACTTTCGCTTACTTCCCACGCATACCTACGCAATACCACAGCGGCCAGCGCATACATACTATCGATCGGTCAGGAATATATGAAAAAATGATGTCAATTAAAGAAAATCGGAATACCGATACCAAACCAAAAACTAAGCAAAGCCGTGAGGATATACCGAAACCAAACCAACTTTGGAGAATGAGGAAAATACCAACTTTTTACCAATTTATCAGCCTCTTTTGCATTAGTGTTTTTTTAATACCAACAAAATACCAAACATATTAGGATTGAAATACCAAATACCAAGTTGGTATTGGTTTGGTATCGGTATACCAAAAAGTTGGTATCCGATTGACATCTCTAATATGAAGTGAAGACGGCGAATACATTTCCAAATGCACGTCCAACACACGGACACTTACAATCCGATGGGGTTGATGCCTGATGGATTTCCGGGCCAAACTGAGTGAGTGGGTGTAGATTTTGAGGAAGGGGGACTGATATAATATAGGGGGTAATGATGCATTTCCCATCTATGTTTGATGCTGATGTTTGTTAATGAACGAAGGAAGAATGACCAGTTTCATTTTCTCCTATTGAATTATAATGTAGATACCTATGTCACCAATTGCACTGACCAGCTGATCATATTTCGTTCGTTCATTGGGGTTTACGGGCGCGTCGACTGCGGTGGTCATTTTGCGCCCAGCTGATCATATACATCACGAAACCTTTCATCTGAGATCAGAGATATGCATTTTTATAGATACTTGTCGCGGTACAGTCATTTTTTATTCGGAAACAGCCTAATGGGCCACACATTACAACACCCTCTCCTAGCTCAGTAGGGCGGTTAATTACAACGCACCGGTGGGTGCCAAAACATTTTTAAGTCTGAGCGCATAATAGGATAGCTAGCTCATAGCTGGTAATAGATAAGCGGCTCTTTCCGGTTAGCCGCTTTAGAAGCGGCATGCCAGTGCGTATTTAATAATCTGGAGAAAGTCGAGCTGTCTTGGGCAATTTCACACGAGTACTGAGTAGAATGCAGATTGAATTAAACGGTTTAAAGCGTTCGCTGCCGGTAAGCTCCAAAGGCTTATGGGATAAATTGCCTAGGTCATAGAAGGTAGTTTTTTAACCCGGCCGGGCCCGGAGGGTAATACCAACCACCGCAGCCCGGGGGGGCGTTTTTCGCCCCCCCCCCCTGTCTAACTCCGTAAATAAGGGAGCTACGGAAACAAAAGCGATACCAAACGAAAGGTCCTTACGAGACGATTCTAATGCACCTAAAATGTTTGACCTCAGGTCAATTTTCAAGGTCAGAGGTAAAGGTCAAAGGCAAAAACCGCTACATGTGTAGTGATCTCAAAGTAAGCCTTCTAGAGGACGGCAGGCTGCACCAAACCGGCAAAATTGGGTGTCAAACGAAAGAAGAGAATCTGAGGATTCTGAAAATGTGCTCAAAGTGAAAGGTCAAGGTCAAGGTCACGCTCAAAATTGACCTCAAACTTGGCACTTTTTCGCACATCTTGCGTGCTAACTTCCAAAATGTTTTGAAATGTTTCGAGGCTTATCAGTTCCCTATTTGTGGTTCATCTTACGATACAAGGCTGCTGAAAGGTCAAGGTCACAGAAGAGTATCCCTGCTAGAGGCTATTTCACCGATTCAAGTTAGCAATAATAAATAAGACAATTTTGCCATCCGGAAGCTCTAAATGAAGGCTTAGAGGAAAATAGATGCCAGATTCGTGATCAGCAGGTACAAATCCATCATAAACGACCTTTCATGTGTCAAGGTCAACCAGAGGTCATTCGAGGTCACATGAGGTCAACATAAAACTTGACCTTTTCCGAACAAAATATATATCATTCGACGCGGCTTGACAAGGCGAATGCGATGGTACCACTGCCGTAGCTCTAGGACCATTTTTGTGGAAGTTATTTGCGAAAAACTAAAACCACATTTCGGGGTCGTTGACCTGACCTCTGACCTCAGGTCACCAAAACTATTTTTCTATTTTTCTCTAGGTCAAACGCTACACAACCGTGCTCGTAATTTGTCTTTATCTCTAAAACTCTATTTTTAGCAGCTATTTGAAGTTTGCGTCTGTGACGCCGAAGTTTGCTGTGCAGGGGTCTAGAAAAATGGACCTTGTGACGTCATCAAGGGGGCTAGGTCCAAATTTTTTACTTCAGAAGATGTCAAATTGATGGGAAAAAAGGTACTGAAAGTTTCGCCGTCCTATCCCTAAGCGTTCGGGAGCTATCGCAAATATTCGCCAGGGGGGGGGGGCGAAAAACGCCCCCCCCCCGGGCCCGCGAGGGTTTTAAGGTCACTGTAGATAAAACAATCCATGAAAAAGGAAACTACCAGGTACATTAATTAATAAAAATAAAACGTCGTTATTTGGAAGCAATCAAAGAATTCAGTCCCATTGCCGACAGGCATATTCCATAACGCAACATGACGTCATTGCGGCAGGTGCATTGTGCAATTTGTGCATGCTCGGCTGATTTCCAAGAATGTGCTGGCGCCCTTGGGTATAAATCGTGAAAGCCTGATTGAGCCGTGTTCTGGCATATGATACAAATCTTGCCTGGGTGGGCCCTGCCCTTCCTAATCTTGACAACAGCCCCAGGCTCTAGACTAATGGTTAGGAGTTTAGACACCAGAGAACGGGACAAGATGGGGTGGACCACGGCAGTGTGACAAAACGCCTAACCCTTCTCCCTAACGATGATTACCTAGAGGCGAATGACGAAGGCAAACAAATAAAAACCATGACTGAGCGGCAATGTCATTCGTTTTCGAGTTCAATGACTGAACGACCAGTTAAATGGCCTGGTCAAACTTCTTTTAGAGTTCACAACGTCCTCGGCTTAAAAAGAAAACAAACAAAACACGATGTCAAGCGGTACCTATTTATGACAATGCATTGTCGCAAAACTGATTCCGATACCCAGTCGAGGATTATTTCACCAACACAAGCTACGCACTGGTACGTCCTACTCCACGGAAAACAGCTTCACGAACAGGCCATGGCCAGCACATGACCGCGTCGATGTGTGACTTTAGGGAGTGGTGGCGGCACAATGGTCATCTACCTCGTCAGACATGACTTCATCATAACGAGCTGATGGCGGGCTGGGACGGCGCACCAAAGACCACCGGCTGTCGGCACAAAGAACCCCGATGACGGAACGATGGAGCGATGACGGCTCGCTCACGTGACCCCGGGGCCAGTCAGACGGCCGCTGACGGCTCACTCAGACCGGCTGTGACGGGGTCACGTCAGCCAGACCAGGTCGTGAGAGCCGCACCGTCCGCGTCTCGGCCCGCCGCGGCCCGTTCTGTCCCGAGGTGGTGCAGAGTCGCGGCTGCAAGCTCCGGCTCCCGGGCCGGGCTGAGGCAGCTGCGGCTGATCCGCCGTGACCGTGGTCGGCCGGTCGGGACCGGGCAGCCAGTACCGGACCTGCCCGGTCGACCGGGGCGGAAGTGGCCCAGGGCCGAAGCGGGCCGGTCGGTATGAATGGCCGCTACTGGCCGTTCTCACGGAGCCGTGCTGGTATCGCCGGCGGCCGGGCCCGGCGGCGGCGTCATCGACCCGGTACCGGCGGCCGGCGGGCCAGCCGTGGTCCCACCGGGCCAGCCGACAGGACCGGCGGTGGTCCCACAGGGCCGGCGGTGGTCCGTCGGGGGCAGCGGTGGTTCCACCGGCCGGCCGGGCACGGAGGATCGCCGCCACTGGCTCATCCCTGGCCACAACGCCACGTCGTTCTTTCAAACATTAATCGTCGCATGCCCCTCCTTCCGTCCACCGTGCCTCCACCCCGTACCGCTAGTCAGTCCACCCTGCTAGGCAACTTCCGACCATCCACGTTTCATG